AGAGACTTGGCATCCGCAATGGCTATAGCGGAGCGCCTTGAAGACTTTAGGCGCGATGACAAGAAGGCCACGTCTCCCAGGAAGGACCACGGCAAAGGTGGGGGAGACCAGCGCTTCAAGAAACGGGGCTCGCCCAAGTCCAGTGATGATTAGTACAGCGACGAGGAGAGACGCCCATGCCATGATAAGGGCAAGGACCATGGAGAGAGGTCCAAGGCTAGTGGCAAATGGGAGCGCCGCGATAAGGGTAAGTGGGAGCCGAAGTGCTACTTGTGCGAAGGGCCGCACATATTGCGACACTGCCCCAACAAGAAGACCATGAGCGCCCTTGTGAAGGATAATGGCAAGGGCAGGGTGGACGATGCGGGAAACGATGAAGATAGGTGCATGGGGGCTATGCAGATGCTGAGTAGCATGGCGCATGACACTAAGAAGAAGGGCAAGGCAAAGAAGGTCGCTGGGGTGCGCTATGTGGATGCGCAGGTTGGTGGCAAAGCCGTGCAAGCGTTGGTAGACATGGGCGCTACACACAACTTCATTACCCCGGAGGAGGCACAACGACTTGGCTTGGAGATATGCAAGACGGAGGGCTGGATCAAGGCCGTTAACTCCGAGGAGGCACGCGTGAGTAGAGTGTGCAAGGAGGTGGAGCTATGCATGCAAGGATGGAAAGGCAAGGCTGACTTCCAAGTTGCGGAGATGGACGACCACGACATGGTGCTGGGGCTGGAGTTCATGGACAGGAACAACGCCGCGCCACTACCATGCCTTGGTGCGTTGATGATACTTGGAGGCGAGGAAGGCAAGGCCGCATGCATGGTGCCGCTCGTGGGCAGGAAGGAGAGTCCAGAGGTGGCAGTCAACACGATGGAGCTCGTGAGGACTTCACATCTCCCAAAGGGCGCTCGTACGTTTGGGCCAAGGACATATGCGCAAGTGCTGATGACCTGCGAGAGGTTAGGTCAGCTGAAGAAACCGTGACGAGGGCGTCACGGAAATGGGTGGGGGAGAATGTCATGCCCCGCCTATGGAGGTTGTGCCACGCAGATGACACGCAGACGCTGAGGAGGATGCTGCATGGCAACTGCATGGCAAGTGGAGTTTCTAGAGTCTTCCGGAGTAGTCTAGAGTTCTGTGGAAGATTCTAAATATGTGTAGTATATTCTAGAAGTGTGTGGAAGGTTCTAGAATGTTGTAGCTATGTATGGAGATGTGTAGAAGGTGGAAGAAGATTCTAGAGAATCAATCTCCACCATTGGTTAGAATGCATCCTAGCCATCCATTAGGGATAGGAATGCCTATAAATAGGAGTAGGACTTCATTTTGTAACCAACAAGTCCTAGAGTGAGTCTTGAGAGCCTTGTAGAGAGCTTGAGTGTTAGCCTTGTACAAAGCATTCTTTGAAGTAATAGAAGTGTTCTTTTCTTGCCAACTTAAGTGCCTTAGTGTGTGTGAGTGTGCAAGCCAAGTGAGGAGAGGGCGAGGGCAACTACAACACTAGTAAGCGCACGAGGGGAATGTGTTGGCTAAGGTGTGCACAGGAGTTAGGCTAACCAAGTACTTGCGAGAGTGAAAGCAACGTCTTGGTGCCGCACGGGAGCAGCTAGAGTGGTGCTGAAACTCTAAGCCCGTGACACTGGTCTCAAATTTTATGGGCTCTGGGCCGAGATTAATTGGGCTTTGTCATGAGTGAGATGACTAAACTTAAGTTGCTTGATACTTGATAGTTGATACCTTTTCTCAAGTTCAATTAGTAATTGGGTTAAGCTTCTGCATTCAAAAAAGGTCTGTACAAAAGTATAGACCCCAAATATCCACATTGGATACGTGTTGAATAGTGATACTCCTTAAACACTCGCGAATACGTGCTTAATACTTCTTAAACTTATTCATGAGTTCATAATTAATTCTCAAGCCAAGTCCAAGTGTTACGAGCTCTAAACCTAGATTAATTGGGTTTTGACATGCATGGTAGTTTGACTCAACTCAGGTTGGTTGATACCTAGAGATGGCAACGGGGCGAATATGAAGCAAGTTTGTCTAAATTCGTACCTGCCCCGTTTAATTGTGGACAAATCCATACCCGTTATGGGTTTTAATGTCACAATCCATTCCCGCCCCATTAAGAGATGAGTGTACCCGTGCCTACCCCGCCCGTTTACATTTTTTTTTTTTTATCTATACAAATAAATTGATAAAATCTATAAATGTTATACAATGCAAATAGTGATATATATATATATGAACACAATATTGTGCATACATTTTGTAAGGGTTTTTTTTAATTAACACAATAAACAAGTGAACAAAGGTGATATCCAGAGTACAAATATGAAGGAAACAGAGAAAATGCTTGGTAAAGGAGGAGAAGAAGACCGATCTTACAAGACTAAGATGGAGGTAAGGTAGATATACATTTCTGATGACAGTCCTTTTCTGTTTTTTTGTTCTTTCATGCGATAGTGCTATTTATAGACTATGAAACATGCTGGTTATTAACCAGCAGTTCCTTGTGTGTCTCGCTCCTAACCATGACCACATGGGTAGTCACATTAAACCTAGGAGCCTAAGATGTCCAATCCTCTTATCGAGCCATGCACTATATTGCGTCTCCCCCATTTGGGACATTAAATGCTCTTTGTTCTTACTTGATCATCAGTTAGCCAAGTTTGTCAGGGCATTAAATGTGATTTTATGGTTTGCTGTCATAATGTATATATTTCCATCATCTCGTTGATCGGGCCTCGTTAGGAGCAGAGACACTTCTTTACTTCTCATCCACCGATCCAAGATCCTTCTATGCTTCCCAATATAAGGTCCCACATAGCTGAGAAGGCCCTACCTTCGTTTTATGCTATACTTGGACTCATGAAGATGTAGCAATTTAAAGGCAAGCTCCCTAGGGCTCTAATGCCTCAGTGTGTTGTGAGACCCGAAGGGGCTTTGGAGGCCGAGCCTTTGAGTCCTAACAACTTAGTATGTTGCTAGGGTTTCGGCTTTTGAGACTTAGTGACCTGGTGTAGTACCATGGTTTGGGATGCTCGAGGTAAGATCCTCGAGGCTTATTAACCCGGTGCGCTACTAGGGTTTGAGTCGCTCGAGGATTGGCACCTCGAGGCTTAGTGACCCGGTGCGCTACCAAGATTTGAGTCGCTCGAGGATTGGCTACTCGAGGCTTAGTGACCTGGTGTAATGCCAGTGTTTGGATTGCTTAAGGGTTGGTTTCTCAAGGCTGTGATGACCTAGTGTGATGCCAGGGTTTAGAGTGCTCGAGAGCTAATCCTTCGAGGCTTGGTTGCCTGGTGCGATGCCAGGGCTTAGGGTGCTTGAGAGTTAAGCCCTCAAAGCTCGGCGGCTTGGTGCGCTGCCAGGGCTTCGGGTGCTCGAGGTTAAGCTCTCGAGGCTTAATGCAATTTTTTGACTTTTCAAGTACTTGCCACGAAGTCTTAGTTAAGGGGTTGTGTTGACTTTTCAATATGCCATGTCAGCAATTGGTGCTTGACACCTACACATTTATAGCACATATATACATCTATATATATATATAAAATTTAAAATTAAAGTATAAAGAGCGGGCAGGACCGGATGTTTCTCAAAACCCATACCCTCCTCGTAATCCACAAAGAATTTAAAATTTAAATTCATACACACCCTTGCAATACATAAACAATTCTCATACCTGTGCCATTAGGAAGGGGGGGCGAGGAGGGGGACTCTGACATGATGGTACAAATTGCCATCCCTATTGATACCTTTGCTCAAGTTCAATTAGAATTTGGGTCAAGCTTTTGCTTTCAAAAAGGGTCTATCCACATGTCAAAATAAATAAATAAATAATCAAGAAAAACTTTCTTTTTTTCCCTTAAAATAAAGAGAACTTTACAAACCTTATCAAGTATCTAATTTGATTCGGTTTAAATTAAGTTTTATTGTCCAAGTTGCAGCACAATCTCTTAAAAAGGATTAGAAAAGTAAAGGGGTAATATTGGTAACAACCCCCACTTTAATAAAAAAATTCCGGGCCAAAAGCGCGCGCAGTCGAGAGTGGTTGAAAGAGAAGATTCCACATAACACTATCATATATTTTTCTCATTAGTATCCTTGTCTCGTTTATTTAACTCATAAATCCATTTTTAGTGTCCTTTTCATTCTTTATAATATTACACCAAATGCCATTTTAAATACAACTAAAAGTTGAGGGAATATTGTCTCAATCATTGTCATGAATCATGATGATAAAAATAATAATAATTAAAGTAGTAAGTTTAACTAATTTTTTGATTATGTTGGTCAATCCCTTATTTTTCGATATCTTGGTCAAATAAGACTCTGTAATTTTTATGAATTGGGATCCCATGTGGTGTGTTGTAACTGGAAAAATTTTAATTTACGAAAACGCCCACACATGTAAGCGTTGAAATCCGTCTTATACTGTATTAATCCTATCTCAATTTTTATATCTTTAAATGAAAGACATATAGAATCACACATGTAAGTGTTCGGATCAAGCTGAAGCGCGTGAACACACATATACAAGAGTTTATGTTTCTAATGGTATCTGATTCGAGCTTGCTTTTGAGTTTTGACACAAAAAGAATGGAACAAAAGTACTTTGTACACCAACATCGTGAAAATGAGGAAATTTCACAATTAATTGAAATCAAATTCAAGAATTATGTTTAAGAATAGCATGGAAAATCTATAACTCTACGGCTCCTTTTGTTTCGGCATAAACTATTTTTTAAAAAAATAAATTTTTTTTTTTCAGTTAAAATATATTTTATTTTTGTTTTTTTGATGTTCGGCAAAGCTATAAGTTAAGAATGGGGTCGAGTCTATCGGATGAGATATATAAAATAATTTTTTAAAAATTAATTAATAAGTTATTTTTGTTAAATTTTAATATTTTTTTTCGTAAATATTTTACGACAATCAAATACTAAAAAATAAAAAAGTATTTTTTAAAAATATTATACATGTAAATAAACGGAGCCTAAAAGTATCCAAAACAATGCATTTATTTTCAGCAAAATACAAAAGTAATGGAATTTTATACACACAAGTAGATAAAGCTAATTTAACTTTGCTATATGAATGTAAGGAATTGGGAATCTGTTGCCATCACTTCCTGCTTTTCACGTGTTGAAGGGCATCTGTCTCCATGCACATCTTATATTCCTTCGTAGCTATATACATACATATATATATATATATATATATATATATATATATATATATATATGTATGTCATCTCAGAGGAAATATGAAGGAAATTTCAAAGAGACAAGGACAGATAACAAAGAAGGGACCATAAAAGAAAAGCGAAACAATTTACCATAATACAAATGCGAGAGAGAGTGCATTTTCTAAATTATCCACAAATTATGATTTATTTACCACCTGCAATGCGGAGGAAAAAATAATAATGAGTACTTTTAATTTTCAATAGCTCATTGGATACAAAGAAAGGAAAGAAGAGTCACCATCCTGAAACCTCTTCTTAGGGACCTATTCAGGAAGTTGGAGGGGACGTATTCGGGAAGTTGGGAGGGGGGTAAAAGTGAATTTAATGTAATTTTTTATGTAATTTGAGGGAGAACAAAGTGAAAATTTTATAGGTATATAATTAAAAATAAAAAAACTTAATAGTAAATAATAGTAAAAAAATTGCCCCAACTAACTTTAATGTGCCTCCATCCCTGCCGCTCCTACTCGAAGAGAGAGTGCAGGTTTCAAAGTAGGCATTTGTGAGGGAGGTGAGAGTGTGAATATTTACTTAATTAAAATAAATAAAAAATAAAAAAAGGGGTCAGATTCATACCTTTCTTCTCAATTTTTTTTAATAAAAAGGATAGGAAAATGACCACGAATGCAACAACAGCTATGACTCCAATAAGAATGGCGAGCGTCCTCTCGGTGTCATTATCTTCATCATTCGAATCTGAAGTTGGGATTTTCACAAATTAAAAAAAACTTTTAAAATCATCATTTACTCTCAAGGAATTTATAAATTAAATACCGCAATCAACATTCTCATTGGCATTGGATTCTTTGATTCCTAAAGAGACATTATTGATTCGAAATAGGGGCTTGTTTTCTTTAAAGGAAGCTTCGTTGTTTGTTGGAGAAAGTTTGAGTACTTTATTTTCCAAAAAAAAGTTACTTTGACAATAAAAAAGTGTAACATGTTTTATACCTCCAAAATATGAATTTAGGATCTTCATGTAGCTTTTTTTTTTTTTTTTTCGATAATTAATCTTCATGTAGCTTTTCATATATTATACTTATAAATGAATAACACGAGAGCTAATTAGAAAGTTTCAATATGTTGCATTTTATAAGGAGTAAATAAATTACTAACTCAATAAAGTGCAGTCAATTTTTGATCAATATATCTATATATATATATATATATATTGTGTCGTGTTTTAAAAGTTAAAACCCACCGCTCAAAGTCACAAACCAATCAGTCATGAGGGAGGACCACAGCCTACCAATCATATCATCACTGACGGCAAATATGTCACTATACTCTTCTAGGGACACTCCACGAAACACACACCAGGCACACATTTTGTTGTGCTCTGGAAATAGGAACTCTTATCATTTATTTTGAAAAATAAAAAAAAATACTGCTAAATTATAAGAACTATGAAGATATATATTTTATTTTCTTATTTCTTGACTTGTCCGTTACAAATTTACAATAAAATAATTATAATAGCTAACTTATTTAGATTAATTATCATGCAAATGACTATTTGGATTTAAGCACTTTATCTCCGTCCCATATTTGTTGTCATGCAAAAAAAAATTTGAAATGGACCACTAATATGAATTGGAGATAATAATTTACAGCTGCGGAAAGGTGAACTCCAAAATTTTAAGTGGATTTCGGTAAATTTCATTTTCTAAAGCAACACATAACAGCTTACCTCTCTTTGAATAGTCGCCACGCTCCGAGTACCGCGCGTAGCACTTGGACAAGAACATGTCCCCCCAAGCCGCCGAGCCACAATCGCTTCTCAGCCGTCCGATCGCCTCCGATATACAATCCTGGCATTTGCTCACACTCAAGTCCTGTACGCACTGCACCACACCCTGTACATTCCCGGACCCACCAACCCGATAGAACTGCCCTCCAGCGGCCAGATACGCCAGCATACCATCACGGCGGGTCAACGAGTCGGAGTCGTACCCAATCGGCGGCCCACATCTCTTAAACACCACAGTCTTGTCCTCCACCCCCAAAAACGAGGTGTTGTCGTACTTCACGAAACACCCGTCCAACTGCAACGCGCCGCCGGTCGAGGCGGCGCAGAGGACGCCGAGTTGACTCACTGAGCGGGCCACGCAATCTCTACAGTCCGAGCTGCTCAGGTCGCCCCGGCATTGGAAGAGGCCGTAGACTACGTCGTTTTGGCTCGAGCCCGGGACGGCGATTTTGAAATTGTTATAGATGGAGATGGAGGCTGAGTTGACCACGGAGGTGAGTATGGAGTTGACGTTGGACTCGTATGGTGAGCCCTGGGCGTATTTTAACCGAGAGCAGCCACCGTATACGAAGGAGTCCGGGGCGGAAGCTGATGGGTGTGTAAGAAGTGAGATGATGACGATAAAGAAACTCGAGAGAGAAGAGAGAGAGAAAGCTTCAACAGACATGGTCGTTAAATCTGCTCTGGTTCTAGAGAGAGAAGCAAACGTAAGCTAGAGAGAGACTTGAGGGATGCCAGGTAGAATTTGAACCTTTAATTTGATGGCAATTTTTTATTTTTCTTGGTAGTTAGCTAACTTAGCTTGATGGGAGATATATATACAATAAAATATATACTAAATGTTTATATAATTATTTACATGAATGTGTATGTGTGTGTGTGTGTATATATATATATATAGTAAGAGGCAATGGTGTACGAAAGCTTAGGGTTGCTTCGTGGAGAGTTTATGCAACTCGAAATGTATAGTTTGATTAGTGAATGGAGGTTATAGGATAGTTATCACTTTGTCATGTGCTGAAAAAGTAACATGTGAAGATGATTATGGAGTATATTTAAGGGAAATGATAGAAAGTCTAGCGGTTGGTGGCATGCCACTGTTGCCATATGACCTTACTGGGGTCATGTTATTTGGTGAGGTGAGTACCTTTTGGGTTTAAATCATAAATTAAAATTGCTATTTTCATCACATTTTTGTAAATATATATATATATATGTGCGTGTGTGTGTGCGCGCGGGGGGTTTCTTGTATTTGCATCTAGTTTATTTCTATAGTAATTAATTCTTACATTTCTTAGAATTTTAGGTAAACAATGGACGGGTAAACAAAAGACTATGATCTCGGAACTACTTTTGGTACAAAGGGTGAAGTTTATCACTCATTTGCAATCAATTATCAATGAAGAATTTGGTTACCATAATAGGAAGTGAGTGAAGTGTAAAATTTCACTTGTTTTGAATTTTATTACTAGTTTTTGACGGGTAAATTTTAGTCCATTATAATAACGAATTGAGTAATGATAGACGTGTTAGTGGAAAAGTACAAAACAACTAGATACTCTAATACTTAGTTGTTCTGGTGAAAACTAATAATTAATGATATTTAAGGAATAATTCCAAACAATTATGAAAAATAAAAATAATAACACACAAAAATACAAGATATACATGATTCACTCAAATCTTTTACTATGTTTATGGAGTGCATCAACTAAAATTTGTTATGAAAAAGATGAAGAATTACAATGAAAAATTTTCACTCAATCTCTTTCAATTGCTCTCTTTTATTGGCACAAATTAATCACATGAATCTCTCACAATTCTCACGATCCGCACCACTCATCACAAACCCTAAAATCTGATTAGGGTTGTATATAAATAGTTCTAAACAATTGAACTCAACTTGCCCCACAAGACTTGCCTTTTGTTGAGTCCAAAATCAATAAGAAAATCAATTTTCGCAACTTCCCAGGAAAGTGAAACGAGTTGCATCAAAATGCAACTGACTGCGTTTCATATACTCTAATGTTTGGATCTCACTGCCCAAACGCAACTGGTTGATTAAAAATACAACCAATTGATCTCACTGCCTAAACGCAACGGTTGATTGAAAATACGACCAGTTGTGTTTTGACAGTAGCTAAAACAAACTTGCAACTAGTTGCCACAAAACCAGGCTCGTGGCTAAAAGAAAGCCAATAAGCAACTGGTTGATTAAAAATACAACCAATTGATCTCACTGCCTAAACGCAACTGGTTGATTGAAAATACGACCAGTTGTATTTTGACAATAGCTAAAACAAACTTGCAACTAGTTGTCACAAAACCAGGCTCGTAGCTAAAAGAAAGCCAATAAATGAGGAAGTTTTATTATTCCAATTCTTTATTACTTCACAAACCACAATAAGATATTGTAATACTGACTAGTTAAGTATCTAACATAGAAAGTAAATGGTGTCACAAAATTTGAGGATCACATTATTTTGTATTTTCTAAAAAATTAGAATTATTAATGATGGACTTCACTCATCAAATGAAACTGCAAATTTTTGTTACCAGAGAATATTTGAATCCCTAGTTTTGCTCTCTCAATAAAAAAAAAAAAAAATTTAAAAAAATCCAAAATAAGATCATTAATGGCCTTTAATTTCACCTAGTGATATAAATCATGGGTTCAATCACGTATTGATGGCACGTGGAATATTAGTACACTTCTTTTTACTTAACATTAAATATTTAAGGTCCCATTGTATAATTATTCTACATTAAAACACCAAACCAACGCACTTTGACGGAGTACTGTTGTTGCTAAAAATGAATACATCGTTTTGTGGACTTCTCTAAGCATCACAATTATTTGACAAATTTCTCTACTACTTGTAGATATCGAAAATCCATCAAATGATAGACTTTTTTCTACCGACCAAAAGAAAAAGATTCACTTCATCATGGCTTCTAACTTTAATGGGGAACACTCTTTTGACCCCAACAGTAATTTTTTTGAATCATATAAAGCAAATTAATATATTAGTCACAAATAATTGGTGGGTTGGTTGGAAGTTTGAAACCTAATTAATTGTATGGTATGGCTTCATTGTTCTTTTATTCCTAAGTAAAGTCAACAATGATTAAAAAATTATTGTTCTAAAACCATCTGCAAATATGTCTCGTAGTTTTATGTAATTTTGGGTGTTCGCCCTAGTAGTGAAATTTTGAAACTTTGTATCTCATAAAGTATTAAATTTTAGATTTGAATTATTTCGAGTGCAATTAATTTTTTAGGAGTTACGGTTACAGATATAATCTGAAGTTTACCCAATTCATTTGGAGAGATTGCTTTGTATGAATCCTATAAATTAGTCGAGATAAAGTCCTGAACGCCCTAGTTATAGGAGAAAAAAATGCCTTGTATTGTCCAAGTTTTCAACATTGGAAAAACCTCAAGTCGGCTAATATATATTACAATTTATATTTAAGCCTAAAACTTAGTTGTTATGCCGTTGATTAGATATTATATATATATATTGTTTTTGTCCTTTTACACTGCAAAAAATATAGTTGTAAAAGAGGATTTGGACCTTTCAACATACAAATTAACTTTTGGGTTGGACATCATCTAGACATGAATGTAAAGATATTAAAATTGATTTGAAGGTGGCAACTAACGTAACAGGCAAAGTCTATCAATTGGGAGTTGTTTTGTAAACCTCAGATTGAATTCTAGCTTTATTTGAGATGCTTTGGTAACAGGTAGGGTGGGGTATATATTCCAGCCTTCAAATCCTTCATGTGGAAAAATTGAAATCCTTCTTGTTAGATAATCATGACACATTTCATAAATTGAAATTTTCGATTAATTAATGGAGAAAAATATCATCATATTTAATAAATTTTTCAATAAAATATTAATTATTACATCTATTTTCAATACGTTTATATCTAATTTTTTAACAAAAAATAAAGTAAAATAAATGTAATATGTTGAAAAGTGTATAACACCACTACAACATAAAATTATAATAGAGGATCCCGACTTCGATCACATGGAGCTAATTCAATGAATTGCTAAAGTATAATTATGTATCAATGATTTTTCAATCACAGTATATAAGACTGGTGGATAAGGCATAAAAAAAGTTGGATTAGCTTTTATGATTAAGAGAGTCAGATCATATGGTTACTAAGGAGGAAAAAAAAAAAGAAAAAGAAGGATAAGAAGTACAAACATCACCTAACCAAAAGAAGAAACATATTATATAAATCTCTCTTAACCATAAACATTTAGTGAGGACTCACAAAGGATAATTAATAATTTCATATGCTATATTAATTACAGTTTCAGACTTTCAGTCTATTAGTAATTTTGTTAGTTGTTACTAAAAACTGTGTCTATCTCTATCATATGAGTCCAGCTATCAATGGTGGTCCACAAAGGTAGTCTTTAATCGTGGGTGTCCAGTGCTCATTGGATGCAAGACCCTAGTCAAATTTTCAACCACGAGTGTATATATGTATATATATATATATCTATATATACATTATATGAGAGACACAATAAGAATAATAGACTTCTTTTTGTTATGTATGATTGACTAAAAGAGCTCCTCAAAACATGCCACTTGTTTTTTAACTCTCTCTCTATCCCCACTTGTGATTGAAGCTTTTTAAGGCACAATGTTGTGGAGGAGCAATTTATAAGAAGTTCCATCACCATAGAAAATGTAAAGTGATGGAGGAAAGAAAGTCACTTTCAATAATGTCCTTATATTTAAGTACTGTTGTTTTATCTTAGTTTTTTGATGTGCCCACGTTGGTTTTTAGATTGACACCCGACCATATAATTGTCATTTTGCTCTCTCCTGATAAGGTCACGAGCACCCCATAGCTCCATGTCTCTCTTCACCTTGATTGACTTGAGCTGAGTCATCTTGGGCCCCACCCTAATTCACTTCCCATTCATGGTTGTTCTTAGACTGATTTGATTACATCTCAATTATGTTCATTTGGGATCAGATGTACGTAACATTATTTTTTTGAGGTGATTTTTAATTTTAAATTGATAACCTCTGGATCGGCGTACGGAACTCTATCAGCCCAAGGAAAATGGAATAGCAATGACACTATATATTCTGTGTTGTGTGTTGATTCATGGCTTGTGGTATACTCTGGAGTGAATTTGTACTTGATCTGCTTTTGCTTCCTTTATTCAAAACAGTGAAAAGGAAATTTCCTACATATCTCTATAAATGCACGGAGTATTCCAGATTTGAATGACGCTGGCAACTGCAGGTGTGGGTTTAACACCCCAACATGGCATGTGAAAAAGCCAAAAAAACGGTCCATGTGACACCCAATCACGTCCACGAAAGCACCTGCGGGACTCCTTGAAGAATTTAGAGGAAACGTTTGACAACACGCTATGTCATCAAAAATCGAGAACATAATACTTGAGTCGATAGAGAAAAACTTTCTTGTGCTCATTACACGGTGTAACGGGTGCATCCAATCGTTCATTACCGCGTGTGCACAAGGACAGTTGGGATGCACCCGCATGGTGCAACAGGCACAATGAAATTTTTATGGAGTCAAAACCAAACCCTAGTATTACACCAAGTCACCAAGGCTCAAAGTCATAACTTTTTAACTTAAATAAAACCCTAGCAGCACACCAAGTTACAAAACTTGAAGCCACAGTCTTCAAGTTCAAAGCCACACCAGGTTGCACCATGCACCCGTTGCATGGTGCAACTGGCACAATGGAATTTTTATTAAGTTAAACCCTAGCATCACACCAGGTTACAAAACTTGAAGCCACATTGCATGGTGCAACTGGCACAATGAAATTTTTTTTGAGTCAAAACGTAACCCTAGCACCAGATTACAAAACTTGAAGCCACAGTCTTCAAGTTCAAATAAAACTAAGGTCGTCAAACCTCAGGACAGGTCTAAACAAAACCCTACTATCACACTAGGTCATTGAATCTCGAGATTGTCTTTATCTCAAGCTAAGGGTGTTCAATACATGTCGAGAAACATTCCGGAACTTCTCGGACATGCAAGGCTACCTTTTGGAACAGCATGGATAATAGGCCTAGTTAAAGAGATGGTGAACCACATGCCTCGACAGAGACCATTACAATCACAATTAATGCTCTCTGAAACAAATTCCAAACTGCTGCTGTTAATTTGTGCAACTATTCCTCTTCAACATGGTTCACTGTTTTATGGAGACAGGTAATTTTGTAATAAATCATGACAAATCAGTCCTATATACTTATTTCAATACATAAAAGAATAGTGTACATTCAAATATTCTTCCTTCAAACAATCAATCAACAAACAGCTTCCACAATTGTTAACACAGTGCTGCACAAGTAAATTTTGGGTCTAAAATCAAAATCATCCATCTTTCAGGGCGGAATTATACGAGAAGATCCAACCGACTTGCCCTTTTTTACACCGAAGAAGAACTGCATCAAACGACATAGTGATCCCGGTATTACTACTTATTTGTTTCACCCAGTTCATATACATTATACAAGTACAACATCTAAACAAGTACAGATATAATTAGACCATAAATATGAGGAGTCGAATATAGATTATTTTCAGTTTATTTTACTCTTTTTTCCCAGCTGAAGCTTTCTCCTTAGCCATCTGTTCAAACAGGCTACCATCGTAAACAGCTCTAATAGTATCTTTCGGGAGCAAACCATTCTTGTCCTTGCAAAGAATATACAAGATCTTCCACTCTACGTAACTTGCAAGCCTGAAATTCATTCAACATCTTTATGCTTTCAGAAATAATCTGACATTGTGTTTGGAAATGAAATTGGAGATTATTTCAATTCATACTTATTATTATTATTTTCCAATTCTAATTCCAATGTGCAAATTTAATGCAAACTAACAAAATCAATCACAATTAAATATGAAAATTTTGAGTAGAAAATAACGAACCATCCTGCATAGTCCTTGGGGACCCTATTCGCCTTTACCATTCCCATCAATTCATCTGATGTCAAAGAATTTGAGTTTGAATGTGCATGCTTGCTGAAAATCTCCTCAAACTTTGAAGGAACGAACCTTTAAAAATGTGAAAACAAAAATTTTAGAAAAAATAAATTTAAGAAATAGTCCAACGCCAAGATAAAAAGAATATATAGTTAATTATAACTGCAAACTAAGCTGGTCCAAATGTAGAATAGACTGTCCCAAATCAACTTAATCTCATTAGTTTATGGTTAGATTTCCCAACATTGATTGGTTTCACAAGTTGTCTCGGTTCAGCCAAGAACGAATTGACCTGACTTAGAGTTTAAAAATTTATTATATCTCATTGTTAGGTAAAAAAAGACATGAGAGAGAGAGAGAGAGGATGGGTGGTTCTGAAATAAGGCTTTTAATAAATAAGGTGACAACTAGAGAAGTTTAGGGTCTGCTTAGTTTGTAACTATGGAAACAGTTTTCAGTTCTTAAAAAAACTGAAAACAGAAAACTATACAAAAATTCTTAGTTTCAAAATCAACTGAGCTTGTGATAAGGAAGAAACAACCGTTTGTGGAACACTAACCTTTTAGACACGAACACTAATCTTTTAGACACAAACGACTAAACCTAACCAATCATCGAAATACAAAAAATTGCCAAATTTCAGGTTCACATAACATCATTCCAAGGGTATAGTCAGTTCCTAATTAATCAATTTCTATATCTAATTCTCATTTTGCCAAATTTCAGTTTCACATAACATCATTCTAAGGGTATAGTCAGTTCGTAATTAGATCAATTTCTATACCTAATTTTCATTTTGTACATCTTTTTCTTGTTGGCTTATCCCATTTTTAATTATTTATGTAGTTCAATTGATCGTATTGTGTAAGCAAAGGAGGTCATTGAAGCCAACAACATAGAACAACAGAGGGTAAGGCAATTCCGAGCAAAAAAGTTGAATTAATATCAAATTAAGGATGAATTTGCTGAGTCTACAGCTGCCATATTCCCTCCAATTTATGTGAGCATGTGATAAAGAGTACAGAATGCGAATGTGTATACACATGTACCTTCCTTCTGTGTCGTAGACACCAGAGTCACTCCCATGCTTTGCTTTCTGGATGTTTTTAACCTCAATCGGAAAAAGTAGAGAAGGGAATTTTCCCTGCAACATACATAAAGTAAAGAATGTATTCGCCAATTAATTATTACTACTTTATGCATACATGACTGCAAAAAATATATATATATTATAAAAAAAATAGAACTTGCAGCATAAGCCATTACGTATCGAATTAGTAACATATAACTAACTACAGTAGACCAAAACAGGATTTTTTTAAAAAAGTGCAGAATTTCTTGCCAGATTGTCGTGCTTGACCGGATTGATTAAAACAGGCCAAAGTAGACCAAAACTGTAGTTTGTAGTTTGTACACCATGGGAATCATCTTAATTCAAGAGTAAGTGATATCAATTAACATTTAAGAGGAGCTCCAAATCTTCTCAAGCTTGTACTTACTTTTCCCTCTAAGTTCTAAGTCTTTACAAATTGAGGTTGATTGAAAGGGAAGGAAAGAATACTACAAAAATGGAAAGAAAAAGAACAAAAAAATGAGGGACTACCATCCTTTAAAACCACCATATTCTTTTTACTTTAAGGAGAAACGGTTTAGCCTTACTTTTATTAGGATCCCTGCAGTACAGTAGCATCGGACGGATCTCAGCACTTACACATGTGAACACTCATGTGTATGCGTGTGTTAGGATCAGTTCGATGCATAAGGATCCCAACTCCTTACTTTAGGTTTTCTTTTTCATTTTTTCACTCTTAAAAAATATTTATGTAATATGTAAATCAATAAAAACAAGAGCAATGATACATCCTTCCAATTCGAAAGATGCCGAGTGAAAAGATTGTGAGGAGGTGTGAGTCTCACTACGTGACATTACTATAACATACACCTCACTCGCATCCTCCCAATTCGAAAGATATATTTCTAATTGCGTGGGTACCTTTTCCATTCCTGATTCCGTCCTAACAAATTGTATTGGGCCATGTCTCTGTCGACACAACTCACTAACTAATGGACGTGACAAGTTGCCAAAGTCCCAATTATCAATGGCAACATAAAGGCAACTAGGAATAACTATATATATATATATATACACATTTCACATTTCATTCATTCGGTAGAGATAATATAAGGAAAGAAAGGATAATAGGAATGATGACTCATTCTTCCTCTTTTACAAACTTTTATGAAGAATATAAGGAAACAAAGGATAATAGGAATGGTAACTCATCCTTCCTCTTTTACAAATTTTCATTCTTCATAAATTAAATTACTACATCACCCTTCATAAATATTTAATAAATCCCATAAATAAAGTTAAGGAACGAGTTTAATGGTAAAAATAATATAAAAAAATATTTTTCCTTTTATCCTAGATCAAATTAAATTATATGTTTTTTTCATCGAACAAAAAGAGAAAAATCTCTTCCTGGGATGCCGACATCCTTTTTTCTCTCCCTTCTATTCAATTTTTTTTTTCCTTCAGGGAGCATAAAGAAAATGTAACAAAAAATGAAAAAAGCAATTGACAACCCAGAACACAAGCTAGCTAATAGTGTGTGGGTGTGTGTGTGTGTATATATATATATATATTAATGAATGGGCTTACAGGACGGGTTTTGCCGCTGAGCCCAACATTGATGAATATGGCAGCAAAAGTAGACAAGAAATATCCGCATCCGATTGCACGAAAACCTGATTTGTACCATTACAAACAAAATCCCAAACAACCCTTTTAGAATTCTGAACAAAATTTGAAGTGTTGAACTATATTTAAATAAAATCAGCAAACATTAATAAAGAAATTAAAACCATGAAATGTCTCTGAAGGATATATAATTCCGTCTTTGTTTATATCAAAGAAAGCAACGTGTTTCTGGAGGACGTTCTGATTTGCGTCCACACCTGCATTTCCAAATATTTTTACTTCAACTTTGAAGAATTAATTACATAAATATGTGACACCATATGTATGTGTGTGTGTATATATATATATATAGGTTTAGTGAAGAGAATTTGCATACCATCGTGTGAAATGCTGTTATTGGAATCAACAGAAGACGATGCCATGAATGATTGTTTAGAGAGAGAAACAACTCTGATGAAATGATCACAAGAGAGAGAGAGAGAGAAATGCGTATGGGAAATTAAAGAAGAGCTCTAACGAAAAGCATAGAGAAAAAGGGGTGTGTGTGGGAGCTTAGTTGGGCTTCAGTTGGGTATTTAAAGGGGAGGAGAAAGGTTTTAAAATATCTATATCTATATATATATATATATATATATATATATTGTATATGTGGCCCCTAATACAAATGATTATTGTATAGAAGGCTATGCTTTAAGGAGGGTTCTCGCAACTTAAACTTTGAAATCAAAACACAACAACGGTACACCAGCCGACAAATGGCTTTTAAGGAAAATGATAAAAGTGTCAAATTCATTTTTAAAGTCGATTAAGGTGTATCTTATTAAATTATAGACCCTGCTTATTAGAATTGTCAAATAAAAACAAAATTGATCGGAATATATAGCATTTCTCATGTTCTAAGTGTTGAGATTTATATGTCCTGACATAGCAAATTTCTTTTTGAATTAAAGTGATATATGTTCCTAACGTTTATGAAATATTTATGTTTTATACAATTGGTGAATTCAATGTATTATATTTCGATTCATTATAGAATTGATAGTGTCCATTTGATTACAAGAGATATTTATATATATGTTTGTGATGGCAATCAATGCATGATATATAAATAGTAATCATAAATGGTTCATAGTCGGTAATTATGGATGGACTCATAATTAATTAAGATTTGATCTGGATCCGCGTTAGGTTGAGATATATTGCGAGAGCCGTCATATGCAATTGCTCCTTATCACCGTCATGTCATTTGACTCTTAAGTATGAGAAAATTATAGACTCTTTTATTAATTAATAATTACTTTGATTTGTTCGGCGGATTCTTTGGGATCCTTAGACCGACACTTTGGATAGTTATGTAATTAATAGTTAGAGGGTTATATTTTCAATATTTGCATCATTGTTATTTGTATTTATTTTGTATTGATTATGGTTGATCACAAAGTAAATTCAAAGGCCTTCGTGTATTTTTAGACAAAATGATTTATTATATATTTATTTATTTAAATTATTATTTTTGTCAAACAAATGTTTTATTGTGATCGAGCCAGAAATAATCAAAGGTACCAAAATAAATATATTAATTAAGTAGTCGGATTGATAGCTTTATTTATCCGATAACTAATTATGCATAGAGGGGTCAAAGTGTAATATTGACTTAGAGGTTATTTATTATTTAATTGGAATTCAATTAATTTCTTTTAGTGGAGTAGAAATTAATTTATGAATTAATTGAATTGGGTCCGTGGACCGGGCCAATTATTAATTCATTGTAGCCAATAAAATAATATGCCCAATGGATTCTCACTCATAGCCTAACTTAATATTGAAATCATATTAGATTTGAGACATGTAAATTAGAGATTGAGAAGGATTCGTTGTTTTCTTTTCTTTACCTTTATGTTGCCTATAAATATACATGGTCTATGTATATTTTAAGTGTGATTTTTAGTAGAAAGAAAAAGGAATATATTTTCTATCTCTAGAAAATTAGGGTTTATGTTCTCATCTGATGGAGGCTCCCACAAGCCTAATTTTCCAAGGTCATTCATGGAGGCATATGAGTGATTTCTAAAGGCAAAATAATTACCAAGAAGATGGAGATCCAAGGAGAATGCATCTTGCTAAGGGATCTACAATAAGTGAGAACATTCACTTTAGAGGAGAGATCTAAGGTTTACTCAAACCTTGATATAAGTATTCAATCTTTTAATTGAATGATACATCATGTTTTATTTTTGCATAAAACTTGTCTCTATGTAATGAATTAAGATCTATGAATTTAAATTTCTCAAAAAGTTTTTAAAACTAGCACGTTTTCCAACACTAAGTAGGTTCCTAACATTTAAAAACTTCACAAGTCTGACTAGTGGCAAAAGAGGTAAGTACAATTTGATAAATAAGAAGAAAGGTTTAATGTAATTTACTCTTTTTTAAATTATTGATATAGTCCACTTAATGATCCAACTAACAATATTTTTGCAAATGTCTTGATAACCGAGTGAGTTAGTGCCTACAGTAAATTTTAGAGGGTCAGGTTTTGATTATCTATATCTACTAATCTAATTTTTAACACTTTCCTTAAAAAATAAAAATAAAAATAAAAATAAAAATAAAAGTAAGAAGCAAAAATTAAATCAATGTTTATTTATATGCCCTGTAAAATAATAATAAAAGTAAGCTAAGATGTAAATAATTGGTTAGAGAAGGATTAACTCGAATTTGAAACGAGATCTGAAAATATCCTTACAGTTAAGATATTAGGTTGAAATGATAACATTGAGCACAATATATTGGCAAAATTGTCAAAAGAAGAAATCCAGGAGGATTTTACGTAATCAGAATATAATAATAAGAAAGAGTGCTATTGTTTATTTATATATAAATAAATAAAAAAGAATATAATAATAAGAAATAGTGTTATTGTTTATTTAAAAAAAGAAAAGAAAAAAGGAGAGAGAGAGAGAGAGAGAGAGAGAGAGAGAGAGGAGTATATTTGTACTATATTGTTTTGCTTTACAGATGGGGATAGAAAAGGCAATGCGAAGAGACCACATTAACCATGCCATAATGCATTTGTGGCATAGGCCTACTTGGTGGCCCCGAAAGCCACAATGAAGGTCAGCAGTGACTCAACCTTCCTCATATTAATGGGCTCATCAAAGACGCAACGTCACATAATTCAATCTAATTAATTTATATTTAGATTTTCTTCGATTGCGTGAAATTATAATCTTACAATTAAAATAGCTGGAATTTAAAAAAATTAAGAAATAAAATTGAATCAAAATTTTTTCAAATTCTAATTTCAAGGCATGCGGTCAAATACACCCTTAGGTTATGTTTGACAAATATAAAATTGAAAGTGGAGAAAAGTAACTAAGAAAATTGAATCGAATTTTCTCCAAATCTATCAATTTCAATTCTAAAGTTTTAATTTCATACCGTCAAACACAACCTTAACCAGTTAACCTTTTCTATGAGAAAATAAGTTTAACCAGTATGCAAAATCTTAAAAAAATAAATAATAAAAAATAATTTGAAAATTATTTTAAATTTCAGTTTGATAGTTATTTTTTAAAATAGAGGGGCGGATAAAAAAAAATAATGATAATGATTTGAAATGATTGATTTATATGCGTGGAGACTGACATAATCATGATATCATTAATATTCATTACTCACCTCAAATTAGTCAAATGTGTCTGACTATCAAACTCCCTATCATTATTCATTATTCAAAAAACAAATTAAGTAAAAAACTTCAGCTAGCCAGCCTCCCTTTTTGGAAGACATTATTTTTCTTACTAGAAATATTGAAAGTCAATTTATTAATAAAATTTTCGGGCTTATCCGAACCCACGGACAGACCCTAGTTCTAAATATGATAAAGATTTACAAATCCTTTCAAATCCCACAAAGAAACATCATTTTTTACTCGTTCTTTTAAGAAGCTTTTGTTTTGAGGGGGGTAATATATATATACAATTGTTGAACAAAATGGGACATAACTTGCATTCCTGTAAATTACAAATTCCAATAACCTCTTCTTGCATATTGAATTACTTCTTGATGTAGTAGTATCATTTATTGTGAATATTTTAAAGTTAATTACCCAAAATTCAAATAGGGCGTATTATAATAAGTCGGTTATGCAGAGAAATTATTAAATGATTCTGGATGATTAATATTTTGTGGACTAGTTAAATACAAACTCTTGAATTGAGAAAATGGCCCCACATATTCATAAATTACAAAATTTTATGATAGAAGAGTTTTTACTAAATTAGTCCACTAAATATCAAGTAGACTAAAATCACCTAATAATTTATCCGACTTCGCGCATCACGTTAATCAAAACAACAAATGGAACGTGGGGGACACCATCTCTGATTTGTGATGAGATGATCATCCCAGAAAGTCAACAATCTTGTTAGCTGTTGAAACTTGAACAACACAGCGAAACAAAAAAACTAAGCAAAATGCTCTTACCATGTGATGGGATGTTAGCTTCAACGCGTCAATTTGAATTTGAAATGGAGAGGCGTGGCGTCTTGTCAATGGGTTTCGTGGTTGCTAAGCCCACCGCCACCACAGCTTCACATAGGACACGACATAGGACACGTAGTGCACACCAGCACACCTTAATTACTTAATTTTACGTTAATAATTGAACTGAATTAAATCAAACCGCCCAAAATATCTAACCCTTATGTTGGTACTTGGTAGTCATACAATATATTTGCATGGATCCACGGCATCTCACGATGTCATCACACTTGAAACCAATGTATTTAGGTTGTTTCTTTTAAGCAATCCTTCAATATATTCTATGGGGACAATAATTTTGAATTCGTCATACTTAATTATAAGAGTGATACAAATCTTAAAAATTATTTCCGCATTGTTTGTTTCTTCTCAAATTCCATCCAACCTAATGTTTTTTTTTGGACTCAACTCATTTCTTATCCTTTGATCTCCAAGTAGTAATATATATATATATATATATATATATATATATATATATATTCAAATTGCTTTTAAACCTTTAACCTTGTTAGGTATGGATGCTTGTATTCAAGCAACCCTTCGGGATGCTCGATGTCTGAAATTTCACCCTTCATTGATGGGTGCACTGGAAACCAGTCTATGTCATGGACCGGTTTATTTTAATGTCTATCCTAGTCTGAATTTATCTTTAACAGATAAAAATATCCATGAGGCAGTTAGTCTTCGGGTTCAGACCTATGGGTATGATTACTTACCTGGATCGGAAGTGATAAGTGTTATTTATCGCATCCATTACAAAGTACTTGATACTATGTGTCCAAATGCTATACGCAAAGACTCTAAAGGAGTAACAGCGTTATGGGACACTAACATGTATACATCAAATGTTGCCACAAAGAGGATGATTCCTTGGAGTGAAATAACATTTCCTGAACATTGGACGATTTCTAACGCCGTCCCAGCACAGCCAATTGCTAATCATAGCTTGGACTGTGTTATTCAGGACCAAGATGGTGATGTTTTTCTGAATTTCAGAAAATCATTAGATCTACCTAGATCTAC